ATCTTTGTTTGTATGTGGTGCTGAGGATCGAACCCAGGCCACACGTATGCCAGGCGAGCACGCTACCGCTTGAGCCACATCCCCAGCCCTGTGTTTTTTATTTTGAGACAGGGTCTTGCTAAATTACTGAGGCTGACCTTAATTTTTGATCTTCCTGTGCCACTATGCCTGGTTCAAGTCCCTACGTTTCCACAAAATTTGTTCCAGGGCAATAATCAATAATGCAGTCATTGAACAGATTTTTTGCATTAATATTTTTGCCATTTTTTTTTTCTAGTGCTGGGGACTGAACTTAGTATTTCATGTATATTAGGCAAGTGCTCTACCATGGAGTTGTAAATTCAGCTCCAACTATTTTTTTAGGGGGTTACTGGGGATTGAACTAAGGGGCACTTGACCACTGAGCCACATCCCCAGCCCTATTTTGTATTTTATTTAGAGACAGGGTCTCACTGAGTTGCTCAGTGCCTTGCTTTTGCTGAGGGTGGCTTTGGACTTGCCATCCTCCTGCCTCAGCCTCCTAAGATGCTGGAATTATAGGTGTGCACCACCATACCCGGCTTCAGCCCCCCAACTTTTTAAAAACAAAATATGGCCTTGGATGGATTGCCACTGCCATCTTGAGTTTCCAAGTTCTCGTCTGTACAAGGGGAAGAAATATCCACTATAAGTTCCTTGTTTAGTGGGGCTGGGGATAAAGTTCAGTTGGTAGAGTGCTTGTCTTGTGTGCACAAGGCCCTGGGTTTGATCCCCAGCAACCTCCCCCCCCAAAAAAAAAAAAAAAGGTCCTTGTAGCATCTGGATGGTCATCTTAAGTGACAGCTGCCATTTTAAGGAAAAAGTTTCCCTTTCCCACCTACGGGCATTTCTGAGAAAGGCTCACCACTCCCTCATACCAACCCAACCTTAACCGCCCCCCATTAGGACCCACTTGGCTCTGATTCCTGAGCCTGCCCCCCCAAAATCCCAGAACCCAAGCCTGTTTGGCCTCTCTCTCCTATAGAGAAATGGCCTTTATTTGTCAGCTTTGACAAATAAATTCTCATGTGTATCTCTGCCTGGTCTCCGTCTTTCATTTCTCGTCTCTCGTCCCTCATTCCTCCACCTTTGAGGTTCACAGAGTATGTGCCTCAGTGGACAAAATCAGGACACAATAGGAGCTTAATATACCACACAGCAGTGTAAATTCCTCAGGAAGCACATGGGTTAAATGCTTTGAAGCCTGGGCTTGAATCCCAGTTATGAGACTTTATTTTGGCTACTTACCTTTTCTCGACTTCAGACTACTCAGCTATGAAATTGGAATAAAGTTCTATGTAATCTTACACTGAGTGAGGTAGCACATGCTTGTAATCCCAGCAATTTGTGAGCCTGAGGCAGGAGGATCACAAATTGGAGGCTAGCCTCAGCAATTTAGTGAGGTCTTGAGAAACTTAATGAGACCCTATCTCAAAATAAAAAGCAAAAAGGGTTGAGATGTAGCTTTGTGGTAAAGTACTCCTATTCAGTCCCTAGTTAAACAAACAAAAATTCTTCCTGGTGCAGTGGCACATGCCTGTAATCCTAGTGATTTGAGAGACTGAGGCAGGAGAATTGCGAGTTCAAAGCCAGCCTCAGCCATTCAAAGTCAGCCTCAGCCACAGTGAGGTGCTAAAGTGTAAAAGACTGGGGATTGTAAGGTTTCTAAATTGAAAGGCTTGGGCTAAAAATAATAATAATAGGCCAGGTATTGTTAAAATTCCTTTGCTACCCCCAGAACCTGTAATCTCTGTAGCTGTTAGAACAATACCTGAACTGCCCAGTAAATATTTCCATTGATTCCCTGGTTGTTTATTAGCTAAGGGCTCCAAATAGCTCAGATGTAAGCATCCAGGCCACAAAACCAATCAGTTTAAATGTGTACCCCGCTCAGGGGTGACCAATCACCCCTGCCCAGATTGTTCCCGCCAATAGATGTACTAATCATGGCTCAGGGTTGTTGTTCAATTTTCCCGTGCCTCAAGATGATTTGTTCTGATGTATGCAAAGCCCCCCACCCTCTCCAAAAAGTGTACTTAAGCTCTGCTTGACCTCTGCTGGGGGGGGGGTCTGGGCTGCTCTCCCTTCCTGAGTGGGCCTTGAGCCCCAGCATGCTGGTTCAATAAAACTTCCCTCTGCAATTGCATGAAGCTGGTCTCTTGTGTGGTCTCTCCCTCCCACGCTACGCCAGACCCTTACAAGACCCTGTCTCTAAATAAAATACAAAATAGGTCTGGGAGTGTGGCTCAGTGGTTGAGTGCCCCTGAGTTCAATCTCTTGTACCCACGCTCCCCAAAATTCCAATATTTATAAAGATTACATAGATTACTAAAAGCCATTCTTGGGCTGGGGATGTAGCTCAGTGGCAGAATGCTTGCCTAGCATGTGTGAGTTACTGGCTTCCATCCTTAGCACTGCATAAAAATAAACAAATAAAATAAAGGCATTCTGTCCATCTACATCTAAATAAATAAATAAATAAATAAATAAATAAAAACATTCTAACTTGATGAGTGGGTATCTGTTTTACTGCCTCGTTCACTGCTGTATATGTTGGACAGAGATTACTGACTGACCCCATAACAGGTCCTGAATAAGTATTTACCTAAATAATAAAAGGGCATCCTGCCTAAGGAAAATACATCCTATCTGTAAAACCACTTACACAGCATTTATATTGCATTATGTGTAATAAGTAATCTGTAGTTATTTAAAATACACTGGAGGATGTGGGTAGATTATACGCAAACACTAGCTCATTTTATATAAGGGATTTGAGTATCTGCAGATTTTGGTATGTGCATGAAATGGAGGAAGTAATCTCCCACCTATACCTGGGAAGACTGTATTTTTCTTTAGGTTGTTCTAATAGAGGGCAAAGTTCTACATTTTGTCTATTTTATTCACCACTTTATTTCACAATACCTACAACACTGGGGTTTCTGCAGACGTTCCAGAACTGACTCAAAATTGGCTTCCTTGATCCTTAAGTATTTGCACAATTGGACAGCTTCATAAATAACCACGTGGACTCTCAGTGAGGCCATGAGGCCCGCCATTTTTTTGGCCAGGAGGGGGGTCGGAGTCTCCGTCACGTGACTGCCACTCGCCGGTCGGCCTCGGAGGCTTTGGAGGTCCACGTGGTCCCAGCCTCCGCAGAGGAGGTACTGCGCAGGCGCGATTCCACGGCGCAGGCGCAGACTTGGCTGAGGCGCGCGGCCAGCGGCGGTTGGCTGCTCGCGGGTCGGCGGGCGGTTGGCGAGAGCCGGACCTGAGCTGCAGCTGCTAGAACCGGCGCCATGGTGGAGAAGGAGGAGGCTGGTGGCGGCATCAGTGAGGAGGAGGCGGCGCAGTATGATCGGCAGATCCGCCTGTGGGGATTAGAGGCTCAGAAACGGTCAGGGCCGCTGCGGCTGGAGGCGCCGAGGGTCTGGAGGCGGCGTCCGGTGGGAGGTGTTCCCGGCCGGGAGGGAGCGGGTGCCGCTTTGAAGAGGGAGGGCGGGGTTTACGTGCGTGGGCAGGGGAGCGCTCCCGAGACCCCTGCGGGCGTCGTTTGGTCGTGTTTCTGGGAGGTGTGTGGCCGGGAGGTCCCCGAGTGGCTGTTGGGAGGAATCGGAGACCTCTGCAGGGGGCGTGGGGGGTCTTCAGGGAGCTGGATTGGCACTCCGGGAATCGGGCGTCCGGAAGGGGTACGATGGGCCTTGGCTCGCGGCGGGGGCTTAGGGACCAGAGGCGTCGGGGGTGTGCGGACTGGGTGAAGGGGGCGTAGTTCATTCATTCATGGGAGGGAACCTGTACCTTTGCTCGGCTGGGGGCGCCTTGGCAAGCGGAGCGGAGGGGAGCTTAGGTTCCCGGGGCTCCTCGGGAGCGGGCCGGTCTGAAAGAGTGCCCGTTTTGAGGCACGTTCTCTCAAATGGGAGCCTAGAGGGGGCTTGCAGGTGCCAGAGGTGGTTACTGGTGTCTAGGTGTGACGTGGTCCAGAGCAGACGGGGGTTGGTTGGTTGGGGTGAGACCTCTGCAGAAGGTCGTCGATTCAGTCAAATATTTGCTGAGCGCTCGACGTAGGCACTATTCTGTTCCCTGAGCACATCTCAGTGAACTAAACGGGCTCCTTCCTACATGGAGCTTTTACTTATTTATCTATTTGGTGCGCGGGCTCGAACTCGGGGGCTCTTAACCACTGAGCCCCGTCCCCGGCCCTTATTACTTATTTTGAAGCAGGGTTTCGCTAAGTTGCTTAGGGTCTTAACTACATTGCTGAGGGCTGGCCTAGAATTTGAGACTGTCCTGCCTCAGCCTCCCGAGTTGTTGGGATTGCAGGGTGTGCCACCGTGCCTGATTGGAAGAAGTGTTTTCATAGGGTGGCCAGGGAAGGCCTATGAAAGGCAGGATGTAAGCCTCAGACTTGTGTGACAGGAAAGAGCCGTATTTGCCCCTGGAAGGGGTGATGGTGGGAAGAGCCTTGCTGGCATGGAAAACAGCAGTCCCTAGGCTTGAACATGCTCGGCAGATTAGAGAAATAGGGTGACTGGAGCCAAAAGTGTTAAGTAGCTTTTATTCTGAGTTTGCTGGGAAACCTGTTGGAGCGTTTTTTGAGTGGGAGTAATATGATCTGTTGTGTATTTTAAAAGGATTACTCTTTGTGGAGAAAAGGTTAAGGAAGGCAGAAGTGGAATTAAAAGATTCCTGTTCGACTGTGGCAACAACCCAGTTAAGAAAAAAATATTGATGCCTGAAACTCTTGAAGGGGTCAGGTATATATTCTGGATATATTTTGAAGGTCAGGGAGGTGTTTGAAGGATTAATCGAGGGGAGAAGGAGAGGCAAAAGTCAAGGATGACTCTAGTGTTTTTGGTCTGAGAACTGGAATGATAGAATTTTGGGGGAAACTAGGTTTCTTGGGGTCAGAGAAGCACCATTTCTCTTTTGAATTTGTTTGGGTGTTTGTTCTACTGTAGCAGTACATGAGTGGTTGAGTTCAGAGGTGAGGTAGAAGTGATAGGTTATGTGATGTGAGTACAGAGAGTATAGAATTGAGGTGAGGGATTGGGGAAGCACATAGGTCAGTAGAATTTAGTTTGAGGAGGGTGCACCTTTCAGAAGAGTTTGGTTAAAAAGTGTAATGTGGGGGGTTGGGAGTGGAATGGGAATTACCTCAGGCATTTTAGATGTGTGGGGTCTTCTGTGATGGATGAGAACATAATCATCGTAAAACATTAGTGTCACTGGTCAGAGGATTAAAGGCACCTGAAATAGAAAGTTGGGAATTAACTGAGAAGAAAGTACCTTAAACATAGGTGGTCTTTTTTTTTTTTTTTTTTTTTTTTTGTGGTGCTGGGGATTGAACCCAGGGTCTTATGCGTGCTACACAAGCACTCTACCAACTGAGCTGTATCCCTAGCCCACATAGGTGGTCTTGATTGATTTTATGGAATGCTAGTCTCTAAAAGTGGTGGAAGGAGAACTTTGAGTTGGAGGAAACTTTTTTTTAAATTTTTTTTAGTTTTTAGGTTGATATAATATCTTTATATTTATGTGGTGCTGAGGACAGAACACAGTGCCTCACGAGTACTAGGCGAGCACTCTACCACTGAGCCACAACCCCAGCCCCTGGAAGAAACTTTGAGGACACAACCCATTAAATCTATCTGAGTTTGAACCAGAGACGCTTTACCACTGAAGTACATCCCCAGCCCTTTTTATTTTTTATTTTGAGACTGTCTTGCTGAATTATCCAGGCTGGCCTCAAACTTGTAATTCTTCTGACTCGGCCTCCCTGGTCATCAGGTTTATAGGTGTGTGCTGCAATACCCAGATCGGTCCATGGGTTGATTGAATTTGGGGTACTGGGGATTCTACCAGGGGCAATTTTGCACTGATCTATTCCCAGTCCCCCCCATTTTTACTTCATATTAAAGAAATTTATTGCAAAATATGGTTTGCTTATAATATAGAACATTTTTTTTTTTTTTTTGAGACAGGGTCTCATTAAGTTGCTTAGGTCCTCATTAAGTTGCTGAGGCTGGCCTTGAAGTTGCAGTCCTCCTGTTTCAACCTCTTGAGTTGCTGGGATTACAGGCATGTACTGCATGCACCTATTATATTTTTGATATAGATTTCCCTAAGTTGTCAAGGCCGACCTTGAATTTGGCAATCTCTGGCCTCAGCCTCCCGAGTAGGTGGCATTAAGAGATATTTTAAATTTTTAGGAGAAGTAAGGGGAAAAAATATCCTCTCAAAATTTGGAGGTTTCTGGAGACTGGGGTTGTGGCTCAGCAGTGGAGTGCTTGCGTAGCACATGCAAGGCTCTGGGTTCAGTCCTCAGCACCACATAAAATTAAAAAAAAAAAAAATAAAGGTATTGTGTCCAAATACAACTTAAAAAAAAAATTGGAGGTTTCTGAACTCAGTGTTCCCCTGGAAAATAGAAATGTCATACATCTCCATCAGTTGGAGTTAGGTAGAGGCACCTTTTTACACAGGGCATGTGTTTGCTAATTTGTCAGCGACTCCATCAGTTCAACGTCATTGGAAGTGTTAGCCTGGCTGTTGTAAACAGGTGAGTTTGCAAGTGTTGCCTAGGTGCATAGCCCATTTCACTGATGGTTTAAGGAAGGGAGCCAACTTGCCCAAGGTCACATACCAAGTAAGTGGAAGAACTATTAACGTGAGTTTGTCTCTAAGTTCACTGCTATTATCATGACAATTCATTTTCTACAATAGTGGCAAGCAAAGAGTTGTGTATCTTCACAGAATATATGTTCTCACAATTTTTGAACTGGCAGTCACAATAAGACATGTCTGAGTCAGCATATTTAAGAGTGAGGAATGGAAGGTGACTGGAAAGTAGATTATATGCATCAAGAGGACAAGACCTTTATAAATGTTTAATAATTAAGATAGGAGTTTTGTTCTGCTTTAAATTTCTAATGCTTACAAGTATGTCGATACTTGGATAGTTGTTGAGTGGGTGAGATGGTAGCATACTGTAGAGGCTTAGAAGATCAGAAAACCTGGGTTCACGTCCTCTGGGTTCACGTCCTCTGGGTTCACGTCCTCTCTTACAACAAGCTCTTTGACCTTCAGCTTTTGGTCTTAGGTTCCACATCTGCAAAATGGAGGAAAGAGTGTGTTACTAAATCTTTTTTTCTTTTTTTCCTCTTTCTGGCCAAGGCTATCCTTGAATCTGTGATCCTCCCGTCTTGAGCTTCCTAAATTGCTTATATTATAGGTATATGCCACCATGCCTGGCTTTTTACATACTTTGTGCATAATTTTTGTAGGATTGATTCCCAGAAGGGGAATTGCTACATGAGAGAGCATGAATCATAATAACTGATATTCATTAAGTGGTGACTATATGCCAGGTATTGTTTTAAGCACTTTTCATATAATCGAGCCATAAATAAGCTGTAGTCACAGGGGCCCTAGCATGGTTAAAGATTAAACACATAAATATGAGTTTTATTGTTGACAGCAGTTGAATTAAAAAGCAAAACAACTCCAGAGAAGTTGGTTTGTGGAGCCATATAGGAATGTAGGCTTTGGAAATGCTATGTGGCTACATGAGATGTGTTGTCAGAGGCATTTAAAAACATTCTTTGCTGGAAAAGTTCAGAAGCGGATGCTCACCCCACTCAGCCATAATTAGAAAGGACTTTTGGAGAAAATGACATTCAAGTTGGGTTTTGAAGTCTTGGGGAAAAGCTGGACTAGTTAGAGGAAGACAGCATGCATTTCAGGAGTGTGGAATGTGATTTAAAGTCTGAACATGGGCCAGGTGGCACACACCTCTAATCCCAGCTGCTTGGGAGGCTGAGGGGGGGGGGTTGTAAGTTCAAGGCCAACCTGGCCAACGTGGTGAAACCCTGTCTCAAGAAAAGGAAAGAACATAAAGCCTGAAGGTGGAAAACTGGAGGCATGCCTGGGAGTGAGTAATGTAGAAATAGTAGGAAATAAGGGTGGTAAAGTAGGATAGAGCCAATACTAAGTGGCTTTAAATGCCAGCTTTAGTTTTTAGTGTTTTTTTTTCTTTTTTCCTGTCAAATTTTTAAAAATCTGGACCCTTTTATGTAAGTAAGGCAATGGATCCTGAGAAGAGGTTATTATATTCACGTAACTTGTGCATGTGTTATACATGTCAGGTAAGGATGCTTTGGAACATTCACATTTACCAGGTTGTCAATGGAATTAAATGACCTGAATTGAGAATTAGTAACCCCATTTTACTGATTGTATAGTTTTCTGGGTCACCCAGTTAGGTAGTGGTAAATCCAGAATTCAAACTCCTGTTTTCACACTCAGAGGACATTAATGATTGGAAGTGCCCATTGCTGAAAAAACACTAGGGGAAACAAGAGCCTGAGGGGGAAAAATTAGTGGATTTCGAGATTAGGAAGCCATAGGTAAAGTTTGTAACTACAGATTCCCACTGGAAAGGTGGATCATTGGTAACTATTTTTTAAAATATATTATTTTAGTTGTAGATGGGCACAATATATTTATTTATTTTTATGTGGTGCCAGGGATTGAACCCAGTGCTTCATGCATGCTTTGCAAGTGCTCTACCACTGAGCCACAACCCCTGCCCATGCTAACTATTTTTGAGATACCAAAGCGCCAAATAGCTCAAGATCCAGTCACTCAGCCTGAAAGGGAACTTGGAAGCTACAACTTAAGGTGCGCAGTGGCAGGGTCAGCTGAGCTAGTATGTCTTATCTGTGATCTGGAGGGTTCAACTAAATCCAGAGGTTGTAATTAATCTTTCTGATGTCAATTTTTTTTTCTTATACTGAGGATGGAACCAGGGGTACTCTACTACTGAGCTACATCTCTAGCACTTTTGATTTTTAAAAAAAATTTTAGACACAGTAATTTTATTTATTTATATGTAGTGCTGAAGATTGAACCCAGTGTCTCACACGTGCTAGGCAAGCGCTCTTCCACTGTACTACAACCCCAGCCCCACACTTTTGATTTTCAAACAAGATCTTACTAAATTGCTGAGGCTGGCCTTAAACTTGTGATCCTTCTGCCTCAGTCTCTGGAGTTGCTGGGATTACAGGTGTGCTGCACTCATCAGGCTTCAGCTACTGCTTTTATTAGACTCCTAGTTAATTGCATGCAGGTGTCTAAAATTATTAGAGTCATTTTCACAAAAAAGCTTTCACATGTTTTCCCAAATACTGGTACTTTGAGAGAATTGACTTTTTATATAAAGCAGTAGTAAACTCATTGGCCAATAGCAGTCAAGTTTAATTTTGTTACTGGGGATGTAACCTAGAGTCACTTGATCACTGAATTACATCCCCATCTCCAGCCCACCCACCTTTTTTTTTTTAATATTTATTTTTTAGTTGTAGTTGGTCAAATATCTTTATTTTTATGTGGTGCTTGCCAGTGCTAGGCGAGCGCTCTACGGCTGAGCCACAATCCCAGCCCCCGACCCATCTTTTTTTAAATTGTTTAATTTTTTTTAAATTAGAGTCTTGATAATTTGCTTGTAGCCTCCCTAAGTTGCCGAGGCTAGCCTTGAACTTGTGGTCCTCTTGCTTCAGCCTATTGAGTTGCTGGGAATACAGGTATATGACAAGAAGTTGAGTTTGAGACTATTCTAAATTCTTCTTTCCAACCCTCAACCCTCATTCTTGGGATTGGATCCGGTGGCTCTCTAGTGCTGACCTATATCCCCATCCATTTTTATTTTTGAGACAGAGTCTTGCTTAGTGGTCAAGGCTGGCCTCAAATTTGTGATACTCCTGCTTCAGCTTCCTGAGTTACTGGGATTGTAGGTATACAACATTGTGCCCAGCAGCTGGAAAGGGTTTTTTAGTTTTAGGTAGACACAATATCTTTTTTTTTTTTTTAATGTGATGCCTCATGCATGCTCAGTAAGCACTCTTAACACTGAGCCACAACCCCAGCCCAGTTTTTGTCACTTTTTGATATATTATGTATTTGTTTATCTAACTCCTCCTCCAGGAGGCAAGAATTTTCTTATTCACACTATGATTCTAAATTCTCCATGCCTGGCATAGTAAGTGCTCAATAAATATTTTTTTCTTTCTTTTTTTTTTTTTTAACTTTTTATTCTATCACCAATAGAGTAATTAGCAGTTCTTTTGAATGAATTTTTCTGTGCAGGATGAGTTGGAACCTGTGTGTTTTCTATATTTGAGGCTGTGGAACTATGGTGTATTTAATTAGAATCAAAATTACTTCCCTATATTTTGTTCTATGATTTGTAAGCTCCTCTCTTCTATATCAGGAGGTTAACAATTTCTGCTTTACAGGCTGCGGGCCTCCCGGGTGCTTCTTGTTGGCATGAAAGGACTCGGGGCTGAAATTGCCAAGAATCTCATTCTGGCAGGAGTTAAAGGACTGACCATGCTGGATCATGAACAGGTATGCTGTTATCATCATATAACTGCCCTTTTGTATCTATCCTCTTCAGTATGAAGATTTTATGAATGCCTATATGTGTTGTGAAAGGATGGGTAGTGTTAGTGGAACTCTAGTCTTTGGAAACTGAAGGTACTAGTGCTGGGTTTGAATTCTAGATCCACCCAGAGGAGATAGATTACCTCACTGAGCCTGCCATCTGTAAAATGGAGTTAATAGCATTTCCCTTGGAGGAGTAGAGAAGTAGTTTTCCAATCTATGCCTGAAAATCACCTGGATAACTAAATGAAAATGCAGTTGCCTGGAGCCTTTGTTGTAGTATAAAGCTTTTACCCTCAGTGATTCTGGTTTAGAAGGTCTTGGATAAGGCTCAGGAACATATACATTTAAAAGATAGATGTCTGAGAGCTGGGAGTTTTGGTGCACACCTGTAACCCTAGTGTTTGGGAAGCTGAGGCAGAAGGAGGCCAGTTTCAGCTGTCTGGAAATAAAAAATAGAAAGTGGGGGCTTGGGGATGCAGCTCAGAGGTAGAGTGCTTGCCCAACATGAGTAAGGCCCTGGGTTCAATCCCCAGGACTGGGAAAAAAAAAAAAAAGAAAGAAAGAAATAGGGAGAGCCGTGGATGGAGCTCAGTATAGAGTGTTCCTGAGTTCAATCCCCATTCTCCGCCCCCCCCCCCAAAAAAAAGGAAATAAATAAAAGACAGATGGGTCAGGAGATTTTGTTGTAGAATCTCCACTTTGAAAAACATACTAGTTGGGTGAGGTGGTGCATTCCTGTAATCTAAGGCAGGAGGATCACAAGTCAAGGCCAACCTTAGCAACTTAGTGATTACCCTGTCTCAAAATAGAAGGAACTGGAAATGTAGCTCAGAGGTAAACCATCCCAGGTTCAATTTTCAGTACCAAAGGGGGAAAAAGCAAAAAAGAAAAACATCGAATCAGAGCAAATATATGTGGGTTGTTTAGCAGAGATACACAGTAAGCATCTAATAAATAATTATATGACAGTGCTATTGAATAAAATAATGGTAGCGCACTCAACTCTAGTGTAGTTTGTTCTGACCTGTCTTTTCTTTCTTTCTTTCTTTCTTTTTTTTTTTTTTTTGGTACTAGGGATTAAACTCTGAGTTATCTAACTACTGAGCTACATCCCCAGTCCTTTTTATTTTTTATTTTAAGGCCAGGGTCTCACTAAGATGCTGAGGCTGGCCTCGAACTTGGAATCCTCCAGCTCAGCTCCTAAATTTCTGGGATTACAGGCATGCACCACTGCACCTGGGAGCAAAATACTTGGGAGACTGTATTATTACACTGTATTATTTGTGACTTTCTTTTCTTTTGGGCAGTGAACAGAATCCTGTCTCACACTAGGTAACTAGCATGAAGTCTAGGCTCTTTAGACAAAAGTAAATTTAAAAAAATATTTATTTTTTAGTTGTAATTGGACATAATACCTTCATTTTATCTATTTATTTTTATGTGGTGCTGAGGATTGAACCCAGGACCCTGCACATGCTAAGCAAGTGCTGTACTTCTGAGCCGTAACCCCAGCCCTAGACAAAAGTAAATGTTAATGAGAATTTTTATTTATTTATTTTCCTAGCCACTAGACTAAGAGAAAAACAGTGAAAAATTTAAAAGCCGGGGCTGGGGATGTGGCTCAAGCGGTAGCGCGCTCGCCTAGCATGCGTGCGGCCCGGGTTCGATCCTCAGCAGCACCACATACCAACAAAGATGTTGTGTCCCCACATACCAACAAAGATGTTGTGTCCGCCGAGAACTAAGAAAAATAAATAAATA